AAATGACTCTATGAGGCAAGTACCACCCTTATCCCCGTTTGACAGATGACGAAAGGAGCACAGAGGGGAGAAGTGACTTGCCATAAAGTCACCCAGCTTGGATAAAATTCAACAAAACTAATATTCTTTTGGAGGGTGGAAGGTGAGACAGGCTCTATTACTCAGGCCAGAGAGCAGTGGTGTCATGTATCATCATAGCAACCTCACAGCAACCTCAAACTCCTAGGCTCAAGCGAGCCTCCTGCCTCAGTCTCCCAAGGAGCTGGAGCTGCAGGTATGTGCCATTTTCTATTGTTTTTAGAGAAGGGGTCTAAGCTGTACAGGCTGGTCTTGAACTCCTATTAGCTTCTTGCCTCAGCATCCCAAAGTGCTGGGATTGCAGGCATGAGCCACCTCGTCCGGTCTTAGCTAATACCCTTAATCACTGTGTATTGACTCAGCACAGCAGTCCTTTTTAGCCTTGGATGGTGATGGGGACAACTGGAGCCCACCTGCTTGTCCACCAATAGAGGAATGCTACATATTATGTACGACCCTCCAAGGGAACACTACATAGTCAGGAAAGAGTGGGAGGTAGTGTAAGTACCTGGCATGAAATAGTGGCCATCACATACTAGGTAGAAAACCCAGCAGAGCAATATGCATTGTATATTCTCATGTTTTGTATAAACATAAAATTGTAAAGGTCCATTTACCTCTTTGTTGATTCACAGAAAAATGCCCAGAAGGATAAACACTAAATAGCTCACGCTGACTACTGGGAAATTGCAGAAGAGGAGCTTTCATTCTTTGTTTCTATATTCTCTGTTGTTTGAAATGCTCACCACTAGGCTTGGCGCCCATAGCACAGTGGTTACGGTGCCAGCCGCATACACCGAGGCTGGCAGGTTCGAACCCGGCCCGGGCCTGCTAAACAACAATGACAACTGCAACAAAAAATAGTCGGGTGTTGTGGTGGGTGCCTGTAGTCCCAGCTACTTGGGAGGCTGAGGCAAGAGAATTACTTAAGCCCGAGAGTTTGAGGTTACTGTGAGCTGTGACACCACAGCACTCTACTGAGGGCAACATAGTGAGACTCTGTCTTAAAAAGAAAGAAAGAAAGAAAGAAATGCTCACCACTAGTAGGTACTATTTCGCAGCTAACCACAGGAAGAAGAAAGTTAAGTGTGTAGTGAGTACCCTTATCTCTTGTCCTTCATTCCAGAGGGACCTCCCCTTCAAAGGCCTCCCTAATGTCCCCCCAGCTGCAGTTCTACCTTCCTTCCCCTTCATGGGCACTTCCTGAGCCCACTCTGGTCACCCATGACTTTCCGTGCCCAGGGTCTTTCCTGTGGATCTGGACAGATCCCCTGTCAAAACACCATGGCCCTACCTACCTCTGTGCTACCTCCTTAGGGGATCGGGGCAAGGTGACATCACAATTAGGCCTGTGACATCACAGGCACTAGGCTGACAAGATAGATGATCTGGCAGGGACCTGGGAGATGGGAGCAAGGAAGGGCTTGCTAGGTAGAGGTGGGAACTGGAGGGATTGTGTCCTCAGCCCATCTCCTGGGACATTTCTGAGCCAAGCCAGGGAACTGTCAGATTTGGAGACCTAGAAATCAACAAGGCCATTTCCCTTTTTGTTTTTAACCCAGAGGTTATGCAGCTTGTTCTGAGAGTTGGGTGCAGAGAGTAATGTCAGGAGGGGGTAGTGCTGGCAGATGGAAGGCAAAGGTGGATCTGTCTTGGGGAGGGATCTTCCTTCAAAGCCCAGCAACCCTCACATTCCTGGATTCCCAGCAAAACTGCAGACAAGGCAGGCTCGTGGGCTGGGTGTCAGGGTGGAGGGGGCTCTAGCTTTTGGAGAGTGGAGTTCAGGAGAACCAAAACTTCGAGTGGCACCATGGGAGGAGCCCCTCTATTAACCTAAAGGCAACTGCAAGAGCCACTGGAGAAGGAGAAGGCTGGGGAGGGTGGTCTGGGCCCTGGGAACAGCATGTCAGAAGAGAGAATGTGAGAGGCAGAAATGAGGGGGTGGTTGTGGTGGTGCAGAGAGCTGACACTGCCATGAGATGGCCAGTCTGAGGTTTGCCACATGATTCTGGGTGAGCTGCTTACTCTGAGCTTCTGTTGATCATGGGGATAATAAAATCAACCATACAAGACTATTGTAAAGACAAAATGTGATAAAACTAATGAAGTCACCAGCACAGTGCCAAGCATATGGTAGTGAGCTCTTTGTAAGGGTAGCTATTTACTTAGCTCCTTGGAATATTCCAGCCTGAGTCCTGTAGCTTTACTTTATTCTGGGCATGGAGAGTGCAGGATTCTTGGCTGTAAGCTATAGAAACCATTTCAGGGGGATTTAAGCAGAAAAGGAATTTATTTAAAAGACATTAGGGCTTGGTGCCTGTGGCTCAAGTGGCTAAGGTGCCAGCCACATACACCTAAGCTGGTTGGGTTTGAATCCAGCCTGGGCCCGCCAAACAACAATGACA